AAGGAAAAGATTGGGACTGGGGAAACAGTTGTGACAAAGGAGGAACTCAAGGTGAAGCAACCTACATGTTTACTATACATGAAAGGGATGGGAACAAAGGCAGAAATGATATCTCATCCAGTCCACAAGAAGGGGGTAGTGATGAGTCAAATTTCCCTAATCAGAATACACTTGAATCACATGGCAGTTCAACTTCAAGTTTTGGTCACCAGAAATTCAGATCACTACAAGACATATATGATGCAACAAGAGATGTAAACGAAGAGGTAAGCCTATGTTTCTTATCTCTTGAAGAACCTAATGATTTCACAGAAGCTGCAGGAAACAAACACTGGAGGGAAGCCATGATTCTTGAAATTGACTCTATTCAAAAGAATGGAACCTGGGAACTGACTGATTTGCCAAAAACACACAGAGCCATTGGTTTGAAGTGGATCTTCAAACTTAAAAAGGATCCTGAAGGGAGGATTGTGAAGTACAAAGCGAGGATAGTAGCAAAGGGATATGTCCAAAAGCATGGGGTTGACTACAAGGAAGTCTTTGCTCCAGTTGCAAGAATGGAAACAGTGAGAGTTTTACTTGCTCTAGCCTCACATAACAACTGGGAGGTGCACCATTTAGATGTCAAAACAGCCTTTCTCAACGGGGACTTGAAGGAAGAGGTTTATGTAAGACAGCCTGAAGGATTTGAGGACAAGAAAGCTCCAAACAAGGTACTGAGATTGCATAAAGCCTTGTATGGCTTGAAACAGGCTCCTAGAGCCTGGAATGAAAAATTAGATAAATGTCTGAAATCTTTGAATTTTAGAAAATGTGTTTTTGAGCATGCTGTTTATATGAAGAAAGCAGGAAACAGTGTCACCATAGTGGGAATCTATGTGGACGATTTGATTCTTACAAGATCATGCTCAATACTCATTCAAGATTTCAAACGAGAAATGATGAAGATTTTTGAAATGAGTGACCTGGGGTTACTTTGCTACTACTTGGGGATTGAAGTGAAACAGAGAAAGGGAACTACAGCTCTATGTCAATCAAGTTATGCAAAGAAACTGCTAGAGAAGATGGGGATGTCAGAATGCAACCCGTGTGCCATTCCCATGGAACCAAGAAACAAGATAAGCAAGTATGAAGGAGAACCACTTGTAGACTCTACTTTATACAGAAGCATCATTGGAAGTTTGAGGTACCTTGTAAACACACGACCTGATCTTGCATACTCAGTTGGCATTGTAAGCAGATACATGGAAATGCCCACCACCACTCACAAGAATGCAGTGCATCAAATCCTGCGATATGTGAAAGGTGCAATAAATATGGGGTGTGTGTTTAAAAGTGGTCAAGAACACGTTTGTTTGACAGGTTATAGTGACAGTGATCTAGCCGGGGACATTGATGATAGAAAGAGTACAACAGGGGTTTTGTTCTTCTTGGGGGAAAGTCCCATTACTTGGGTCTCGCAGAAACAGAGAGTTGTAGCATTATCTTCATGTGAGGCGGAATATATAGCAGCAACAGGGGGAGCATGTCAAGGTATCTGGTTAGCTAAGTTGCTGGAAAGCTTAACTGGAGAAAACAAGGTGATGCCAATCCTAAAAGTAGATAACAAATCTGCTATAGCTCTAGCTAAAAATCCAGTTCATCACGACAGGAGTAAACACATTGATACACGTTTTCATTTCATACGCGAATGTGTGGAGGGAGGTGTTATCAACCTGGAATACACCAAAACAGAAGTACAGCTCGCAGACCTACTCACAAAACCACTAGCAAGACACAGGTTTCTGGAACTCAGAGAAAAGATTGGGGTGAAGACTGTTGAAGAGTAATCAAGTTTAAGGGGGAGAATGTTGACTGTAAACTTGAGCATGGGTCAAACCAAGTGTCAAGACAGTCCTAGTCAGCAAAAACAGAAGTTTTTATTGTTTATTTTTGAACGTGGTTAACCACTCTCATGCTTCCTATGCATGTCTGGAACGTGGGATAATGGTCTGAACTACGTGGTATTGCTATTCCCTATTTGTATTATTGTATGTAGTATAAATAGGTGGATTAGCCTTTGAGTTTTATAGAATCCGAATGTACTGGATGATTTTCTCATTTTGAATGCAAGAAAGTACTTTGCTTCATTCCTACGTTTAATACTCTGTTACATTCTTGTTTAAATTATAAAAGAAAACTCGAAGTACCAACATGGAACACTATGTTCCGACCCTGACCCGACCCATTGATAGGCCTAGGGTAACCACAGGTTTGGACAGAGGGGCCAGATGCCTTTGTGTGGGGCCACTTGGGTGATTTCTCCTTTGTGGGCCTAGTTTGACGGTCGATTTCCAGCTGGATAGGCGACGCTTCATGCGCGTCCGCAGTATCTACACTCTGGCCCTCGTTGAGAGCCTCAAAGGCGGTCAAGGGTGTGGGCCGAATGCCAGCATCTGCTCGCCGCTTGGCGAGAGGCAGCGGAAGAAGTAGCCTCAGAAGACTGGCCCGCACGTGCCCCCCATTCCAACTTCAGCGCGTCGTTCTCCAGTTGGGTTTCTTAGGGTGTAGGAGGACCTCAAACAAAAAATGAACAAACTGTCAGAACCGGGCGGCACAGATCCTAAAGGCACTCACCCTTAACAGCAAAAAAGACCGCCTGAGGTTTAGGTGTGATTCCAGGGGAAAAACAAACCAGTGGCACGGGCAGTACTCGGCAAGAGCCTTAGAGGTAAGATAAGCCAATAAATGATTAGAGCCGTCATCCTGCACTCTCTTAATGGCTTCCCTCAGCTCCTCAGTAACGCGCGGCTCCCCGACCTTTGGAGGGAACCCATTCCATCATGCTGGCAGCTGACCCTCAGGGAACCGGACAAAAAGAAAGTTGTGTTTCCATTCATGGATAAAGTAGGGGGGGCGTGAAAGAGTCTCCGTTCGAAGTGGCGGTTGATCGTCATGAACCCGTCGGAGTTCTGAGGGGAGATCTTGAAGAAGTTGTGGAAAAGGTCCACGCTCAGGTCCCCCTTCCTAGAGGTACACCGCACGATAAAGGCGGCCACGAGCAGATAAGAGTTGGGCATGAACTGAGTGGGGACCACCTGATAGCGCCATAATATATCAATGAAAAACGGGTGGATTGGGAACCGCAACCCAACTATTACGGAGTCTTAGTTAATCATCCCCGGGTGCCTTTTCAATGGATGGGATGCACCACGGAGATTGTATACAACGGGCGGCGGCAGGTAGATTGGGAGCTAATCCATGGAGTGATCAGAGAAGAAATGCTCGCAACTTCGAGTGTTTCGCAAAAGAACCTCGTGGCGCGGCATGTCACATGGTCGGCCGGCCTCGAGTACATCCAAATCATCTTCGAAAAAGGCTTCATCACAAGAATCATGATCATCGGAATGCCTTTGAGGCTTTGAGCGGCGTCATCTTGGGCAGTCACACCGTCAACATCTCCCCGAATTGTAACGAGAGACTCATCCGAGGAGCGAGGGCTCACATCAGATCCCGAGGAACAAGGACTATCGGAATCGCGACCCGGAGGATTGGACATCAGAAAACAGGAAAAAGAGGGTCTCGGAGGAAAATTACCTGATTTGAGGAGCGAACAAAAAGCTGAAGACAACAATCTGGGTAGAGAGAAGCTGGAGCGTCTAGAGAGAAGGTGAGCAGAAATTCGAAACCGTGATGCAATCTGTTAAGCGAATATATATAGAGATCTCCACCGCCTTAACAACCAATCACAAGGTGACACGTGGTGAGGAGCATATCCCAGTACAAATGTTGCGCAGAGATCAACAGACATGTAATCATTACAGTTACCTGGAAGTTGAACTGACCGCCATAACCGTCACCTCGAATCTCGGGAGTCGCTCGGTCCAAGATAAGTTCTCATCTATACTTTTTTTTGTCCCGCACATGCTTAGAACATCATAAGTGGGGGGGCTTGTGTTAGGGTAATTGGCCTGACGAGAAGTCGGCCCAATAGCTCATAAGGAGAAAGGTTCAAGAGCCCAAAGGCCCAAGTGACGCTCAGTCCAGCTCGGGTGGCATGTGGTGGGATGCCCGGCACGCGTCCCTTTGCTTTACCTCGTTGGGTCAATAAGACATGATAGCCTCGATGGGAACGTGTGTCACACGCCGCGTGGCATCATGGTCTTGTCTTGATTGAGGCGAGTAAGCATGAAGATCTCAGTTGGGGCGGTTTTCAAGATTGGCGAGAAAGCAAGGATATTGGCGGAAAGTGCATTAAATGCATCAGATACAGAAGATTTGGTTGTTGGGGATTAGTCATTCGTAATCCTCCAGATCACTACTACCACCTACACATGGTAGTATAAATAGTAGCATTTATTTCACTGTTAGAGGTTGGCAACTTGTACTCACTAGCTTTAGCTTCTAGGTTCTAATTGTCTGCACTCATAGCTTAAACTAGGTGTTCGACTTCAGTCTCAGTAGGGTGTACTGTAATTGTTCTTGATTGTCTAATTGTTTAATAAGAACTCAACCCACTTACTGTCCATCTCCTTGTTTGCTAAATATATTTGGTGTGGTTAATAATTGAGAGGTTGTTAATAGAATTACCCTTGGAGCAACCGGACATTGAATCAACAATTCAGTGAGCCATAACACACCAACTGTTCAAAGGACCATTTAGTTTAGATTTTGTTACATTTTTTTAACCTAGTAGGCGTTTAACCTGAATCATTACTAGCCATTTCGGAAATTCATTCAAGTTTAAGCGTCTCTTCTTTTGGTCTTTTGGCGGAGGATATTAGACAGTTAAGCTCAAATTTTACGGATATTGAATTTTATCATATTAGGCAATCTACGAAAAGAGCCGCTCATGCAATAGCACGGGAAGCTAGTTCTATGTATGATTGCCGTGTTTGGTTGTTTTTTCCTCCTAGCAAAATTGTTGATGTACTAAACTTTGATTTAATTAATGCTAATTAATTGTTTGCTGCTCAAAAAAAAAATATAGTTTGCAAGACAGCACCAAACACAAATGAAGGGAATAAATCAATAGATCACGAACCCATCTATAGGCCACACGTACATAAATAAACTCACGATTAAATACACGAAACAGTAGAGTGGCCTGTGTAGTTATTTACATTCATAACCATGTACTGGAAATTTCTCCTTTTCAGTTTTTTACATGATTTTGCCATTCGTTTAAAAAACTGAAGAAAAAACAATAAACCAAATGGCCATGCCGAAAACTGCCCGTTGTCACCAAAAATTCAATTCAGGCTTATAACGGCTACCATAATTCCTGCCCTTCTAATCAAATTATCAGTACCACCATGCCAATGGATGACGTTTGAAATTGATCAGACATCATTTAGGCACTGAAAACCATTTCCTGCAGATATAAACAAATAGAATGTGTATGGTCAAATTGAATGTAGTTTTGGAGGGTATGAATTAGGACGACAGAGTTTATATCTTGATATACATTTAAAATTTTTAGGAAAAGTACGGAAAAGGTACTTGTGGTTGGGCCCGTTTTCAGATAGGGTCATGTGTTTCATTCTTTATCAAAGTAGTTCATGTGTTTGAATTCCTTTATCACAAAAGGGTCACGCCGTTAAAAACGTCTGAAAAAGACCGTTAAAAGTAACTCCGATTTTCAAAAGTGTCAGAAAAATTAAAAGAAAAATATTGAAAGGTGCGCCTCGTCAAGATGACATCCAAACCACCTTCGCCTTTAGATTTTTCAGATCCGTTTGAATTATTTTTTAAAAATGATTTCGCTATTATCACTTTTCAGATGGATTTTTCGGTGACAAGGTGGCTGAAAACAAAAAAGAAAGATGGCCTAACGGTCGTCTTATTGAGGCGCACCTTCCGATATTTTTCTTTTAATTTTTCGGATACTTTTGAAAATCGGAGTTACTTTTAACGATCTTTTTCTGACATTTTTAACGGCGTGACCCTCTTGTGATAACGGAATTCAAACACATGAACCACTTTGATAAAGAATGAAACACATGACCCTATCTCAAAACAAGCTCAAACACAAGTATCTTTTCCGTACTTTTCCCAATTTTTTATTAGCAACAAACTAACAAATTACCATATTACCCGGTGGTTCAATCTCGGGTTATTTGAAATCACTTTTTAAAGTGAAAAGTTTTAAAAGAGTTGTTGAGTTGTCAACCAATAGGGAAATAGGAAAAGAATTCGTCAAACTAACAGTTGAGATTGACCGGGCCCAGCCGATTTTGGTCTCGATTTTCCTATATGTGGGACCTGGTACCCTACTTGGGTTGTACTAGGTTTTATTTTGGAATAGGACCGTACTTTCAGTCTTCTGGAACCAGGTGAATTTTTTTTTTCAAATTTGAAAATGGAAAACTAAAAATGAAAACATAAAATTGAAGATAGAAAAACTGGAAAATGAAAACAGAAAATTGGAGAACGGAAAACACAAATAGAAAACTGGAAAATATCTCAGTTAGTAAACAGGCCTTAGCTTTTGATACAATAAAAATAGGATCAAATTTCATTTGGACAAAAAAGTGATTAAAATGACATCAATTGACTAAAACGCCCCTCAAACCCTAAATCTAGGTTCACCTCTCCACTCGGCATTCACCTCTCCACTTTGTCCTAATTTGGAGTTCTCCTTCATCGCGAATCACTTTCTGATTCATGCTGCTCTGACTCTATTTTCATCGCCACCACCGTTGCCGCCACCCCACACCTTCACTCTTCTATTTTCTTCTTTCTCTTCTCAATTGCCGATTTGAACTCTGCCTCTTCTGCTTCATGGACTTCTCCGATCAGCGATGGAAAAGACCAACGAAAGACACGAATAGCTCCGATTGCAATGAAGATGGCACAGGTGAGGGTTCCCATACGATTGTGGTTGCAATGACTGACATGGCAGGTGTGGACTGGCAGGGAAGGGTTTAGGGAAGGGGTTACACTAATGGGGGGGTGGGGTGGTGGCCGGGGTGCGGCTTGGAGGGATTGGGTGGTGGCTGAGTTGCGGCTGGTAGGGATTGGGGTGGTGGCTGAGCTGCAGCTGGGAGGGATTGGGGTGGTGGCTGAGCTACGGCTGGGAGGAATAGCGGTGGTGGATGGGTTGCAGTTAAAGGAGGGATGTGGGAGGCTAGGGCTGGGATGGTGGGGGTGTGGCAGACGGGCAGTGACTAGGGTTGTGCGCTGTGGACCATGGTGGGGAGTGGTGAGAGTGGTCACTGGCAGGGGAACCGGGTCACTGGCTGGGGAAGCGGGTCACTGTCTGGGAGCCGTGTGGGTCACAGACCACCAGGTCACTAGGTTACCGTGTGCCGGGGCAGCCAGCCACTGGATGCTAAGGCAGTGACTATGGCACTGGGGTTAGGTCACTAGCAGTGGGTCACTGTGGTGGTCACTTGCCGGTGGTGATCACTACCAGGCAGTGAGGTGGTCACCATAGGGGTGGATAACTCTCACTGGGTGAAAGTGGATCTAAAAATCATCTCTTTTTTTTAGAAAAAAATTAACATTAGTCCTATATTTGTCCATGAGTTTTAATTTATTTAGTAATATTGACTAAGCACCCAAACGCCCCTAAATGGCATGCGAGATTCCCTCCATCACAAAAAATGTTTCATTTCTAAGCACATGAAGGTTATTTTATAAACCATATTTCATTTTCCAAAAAAATAATTAAAAAGAGTTAAATATGATAAATTAAGTTAAGCTAACAAATAATTACAAACAGTTAAATGTGATTAATGACTTTAGTTTTAACAGTAGTACTTTGTCAAAATTTTATAATTGCAAAGAGCGGAAGAAGCTGATTTTTTTTTCATTTTCTATAAAAGAATTACGAAAAAGTTAATTATGATAAATTTTGTTTAAAAACAGTGATAATTCAAAATACAATTGGACTGCTGACTTTTTTACTGTTGACGTCTATGGCTTACCTGATCACAGACGGGGCATGTGTCACTCCTTTCCATCCATTCAAGAATACACGAAAGGTGAAAGTGATGCTCACATTTTGTTATAATCTTTGGATTCTCCACATCATATTCTGCAGGAAGAAACAAAAGTGATGAAACGTGAGTTTGCAGGGCGGGGAGGAGCAGGTTGTAGGTGAAGTTTATTTCTGACCTTCAAGACAAGTTGGACAGAGATCCTCTTCTTCCTGAACTGTAGGTTCCTTTAATGACTTGTTTAGTTCTCCTGATTTCTCAAGCTCATCAACCACCACTTCCCTTCGGAGGGTAAAATCAGCTTTGCCTAACGTTTTGGTATCAGGTTCTAACCCTCCACAATTCCCAGAGTTCGCTTCTTCGGCGGGTTCTATGTTCTTTATCTGAGCCATTGTTGCATCACCTTTGCTACCATCTTGATTGCCAGGTGGTGTTCTGGGCCGTCCTGCAAAGGTTTCAAATGGCCTTGGTGTCGGAGGAGGTCTGTATGTATCGAGACTTGAGGTATCAAGATTTGTATCGACTAACAGACCTGTGGTGAGTACCAAGGCTGTGCCATGTTGAGACAAAGGCTGTTGTTCCTCAGACACTCTAGGGTACTGCAAGTTGAACAAGTGTATAGATAAAGCAAACAAAAAGAATCAGTTATGGCATAGAACACGTGGAATGCAAAAAAGAAGGGAAATGGAAAACAATGTGCTATTAAAATGTTCTTTAATGTTAGGTTTTGCCTTGGAAATTCAAAGGAGATTCACATTGGATTACTACCTTGTCTGATTTTTATACGTTTGTATTTCCTTGGTCTTTATAGATGAATTTGAACAAATATCCAACACTGATTTATTGAGGTTGGACTTTGGACCAGTTTTGCCTCCCCAAAATTTTATTTCCTTGCAAAATATTCCCTCTACTTTACTTATTATTTTATTTCCCTGGCATTTTCCAGAACAATAGGACATTTAAGCAAGTTTGGCAATCCCTCGTGAAGTAAAATTACATATTCAGGTAATTAGATAGCTAACCCCATTAAAAATTTAATGTAAAGAAGCATCAGTGAGGAGAAATTCTAGGGTATTGTTGGCCTCGGAAATACTAGAGAAAGGAATAAAATTGCTAAATGAGTTTTTTCTTATGTTTGGATTTACCTCTGTAAGTGAAAAAGAAAATGAAAAATGACTAATGTTTTAAACTTCTTACATATTTTTTAGGTTGCTTAGTATTTATTTGTTTAATAGAAATAAATGAATATGAGTTTGAACAAATACTAAAACAAGGGTTTTAGAATTTGATACAATGTATTATTCCTCAAGATTTTCTTTCCTTCCAATTTTCTTTTATATTTTCATCCTTATTTTCTTATCAAAGTATTTTTGTCATTCCATAGTGAGTCTTAAAGTATTATTTGCATGTCTACATTCACGAATTACTGATAACTATTTTCAGAAGGATGTAAAATGAATAAATGATCCCTGCAAAAAAGTCTTTACCGAATAACTTTTAGTCTATAAACATTCTAATTTAGCTTGCGAACAAATTGCATGTCCCATTGCATATTCTTTTATTCAAAGGGTATGTAAATGTAAAGGACACGTAGCTTTTGTGGACAAAAACTACAATGAAAGAGAGCATAACAAATAAAAGTACAAACCTACAAGAGTGAAATAGATATCACAGATTAAAAGGTATTTGAAGAGATGAGGAAAGTTCAGCACTTCAACCTATTCAACAAGTCAACCCCATAACATGAGTATACTTGATCATTGAAGATTAGAACTCGAACCAAAACTTGTAACTGCTCAAAGCACTACATTTATTTAATTGGTATTGGCCGGAGGACTACCACTTCAAAATAAGGACCGAACTTGGTGGTTATTTTGTTAGTTTGTTATATGGATCACAATCAATGCACAGTGTGTAATTGATTTATTGAGGAAAGTTGTTTACTCACCACGGATAACATCTATCAGTAATACTGTAAGAAGAATTTTGTATTTTCATGTACATATGCAGATGAAGAAAAGTTCAACATTAAGAATTTTCATTGAAAAGAATACGTAGGTACACCAAATTCAGAATTCATGGATTTAATACTAAAACAAAAAATAAAAGACAATCAAATCGGAGCCTATTTCCCTTTGTTAAACTTGTGAAGGATATTCGTCATCAAAAGAGAAATCAATTTCTTCTCCATTATCTGGTTTATATTCTCCAACGTCGTCTCCAATTTCTCCCTCACTTTCCTCATCCACAAGCCTACTAGTAGTACTTGAACTCGGATTTTTGGACTACGTATTATTATTATTTTATATACATAGCATTATACTAGTGCTGTGAGTAATATAAAGTAATACATAGTATTATTATTTATTACTTTATAATATACATAGCAATATACTAGTGATGTGAGTAATATAAAGTACTACAAGTACTACAGAGTATTACTTTATTATATACATAGCAATATACTAATGCAGGGAGTAATATAGAGTAATACAGAGTATTATTACTTTACTATCATCATCATCATTACCCCGGTGCCGCAAAGGCTCCCACCTACGGTGGAGTAGGGGGTCGGATGTACGCAATTTTACCCCTGTACTAAAGCAGAGAGACTGTTTATGGATGACTCATGATGAAGATCACGTCGAAAATTGCATGGACTGACTAGTGATTCATAAAAAAGAAGCGCCGACAGTTTAGTGAGTCATTTTGCTTCATTCCATCATATTCCCGAGCCAAAAAATAGTAAGTCTTTGGCTCCATTGCAAATGATGGAAAAAAGTATTACTGGTATTACTTTATTATGAGCACTATTCTAAAAATCGCTCCAGACGCCCGACTAGTCTCTGCCTAGGCGCTAGGCGGTGGTCGAGCAACCCAATTTTTGTCTAGGCGCCCCGACTAATTGGTTTGGCGCCTAGGTGAATTAGTCGGCCGCCTAGGGCGCCTAGTTGCCCGCCTAGAGCGCCTTGTCTCCACCTAGGACGCTTAGTTTAAAAAAGCGCGCCTGAGGCGCGCAAAGGCGCTAGGCGCATATAGGCGCTAGGTTCATCGCAATTAACTTACCAAGGCGGCGCAGGTTCCTAGAGGCGATCGCCTTTCTTGCTTAAGCGCGCCTTTTGCGCTTCTAAGAGGCGAGCGCAATTGACGCCTCAGGGAAGTAAGCTCCTTACTCGTCACTCCTCTCTAGTCTTCTTCTTCGTTTCTGCCTTCTTCCGATATATCTGGCGTAGCTCTGAGCCTCTGAGTCTTCCGACTTAACTTGTGCGCTGCTATCTCACGTCGCAGGTAAGTGTTTACCTTTTTTGTCTTCTGCTATTTATTTTATTTTATTTTAAGTTGTTATATTTATAAAAATACTACGTATTAAAATTATTTAAATAAAAGTTAGATAACTGGTATAGTATTATCTTTCGCTATTTATAAGTTTTGATAGATAACTGAAAAAAAGTTAAGTATTTTAAGTTTTTAAATTTACAAAATTATTTAAATTATTTAAATTTACAAATCTGTCTGTGATTCTTTTTACAGAATTGTATTTATGTGATAGTTTATTAATTAAATATGTATTATTTTATACTCCGTAGTATATTCCGTAACAATGATAATATCATAATACTATATCATATACTCTGTATATTGTAGTGTTAGAACACTGATTTATTAAGTATTAACTATGTATTGCATAAAATGACAGTTTTTATTTTTAAGATTTTTTAACAATTTTTTATATAACAGTTTATTACATTAATTATTTAAATTACTATTAACAGTTTTTATATAACTTAATTATTCAATTTATCACAAAATGACTATTAATTGTTTATGAAGGAAATGTTTGCTACTCTCGATAATGAGGATGATGACAGTGATGAATTCTAGGCCTAGATTTCACAATTGTGCTTGCGAGTTTGCTACTTTGCTTTTTAGTTATGTTTTGAAGTTTTAAGATTGAGTTTGTAACTTGACTTTTGGCAATTATGCCTTTAAACATATATTTTTTGCTTCTGTCTTATTATCTTTAATGAATATTCTGTTTCTCTTATGATGTTAAGATTGTTTAATAGTTTGAAGTATTTTTGAGAAGAGTGCTTCATGTAGAAGTACTAAAAATATATTTCACCAAAGAAATGTGGCTGAGATCCGTGAGGCGCGCGCCTCACCGCCTAGCGCCTCGCGCCTCGGGTAAATCAATGAAATCGCCTCGAGCCGCCTCGTGCCTTTTAAAACTAAGCTAGGACGTCTAGATTTGCCGAACAATTTTTTCTTTTTAATTTTCTTTTTGTAAGAGATATATGTATTTTTAACTTTAATCACGAATAAGTAGAAAGCGACTTGTAAATTAAGATAAAAACTCTATATCTTTGTATATATACTTAAATTTGTTGTATTATTTAATATTTATAGTATAATGCAATTAGGTGATTAGTTATCATATATTAATAAATGTGACAATTCTACCATTCATGCATGCTAATGTGTGTGTGTATATTTTTCATACACACATAACCACAATGCTACCGTTTGACTACATATTACTTATCATATTTATGTAAAAATATTGATAAAAATAGAACTTATGTGTCTCCGCCTAGGCGCCCGTCTAGCCGCCTAGGCGCTAGGCGCTATGCTGGCGCTCGACTAGCACCTACCGCCTTTTAGAACATTGATTATGAGTAATATAAAGTATTATATACGAAGTACATAGTAATATACTAGTACTTTATTATATACATAGCAATATACTATATGAGTATTTGGATGAAGAGGACTGCATGAAAAAGAACACATATCTTGTTTAGTGTTGTGAGGGAGAACTGAGTTTGCTAGAGATGATGAAGAAAACTAAAAGAATTGGCCGGTATAGAGCAGCTTGAGTGAGGAGATTGAGTAGACTGAAGAGCGATGATGGCTAGCGATGATAGCTTAGTGTTTTACACAAGGTTTTACGTTTTTATGTACTTGACTTAAGGTTTTAAGTAGGTTTCAATGGTTTTACCCTATTATTTAGATGGGCTGAGTGTTATTAAAGATATAGGCTGATTATTTTTGAAAGTTTTAAACCAAAAAAAGGCTGCCAGCTTTTTCCAGATCAGGCGACCCAGGCGTGCGCCTCCCTGCCCTTCAGCACTTCATGCGCTTATGCTGCACCCGACCCAGATGGGTGCGCCTCCCATTCTCCATAGCACAGGAGGCCCTGATCGCTACGCCTGGTGCGCTTAAGCGCTGGGGCGAGTGCTTTTGACCACCTTGGGTACACCAAACAACCATACTGGGTTAGAGAGTCATGCTTTACCAATTACAACACACTCAAAATATCAATAAGGAGCATTCAAAGAGGTTCCAGGAGTGAAGTAAGAGCACATACGTGGTAAAATTGTGAAGAGCTATTTGGTTCCCTTCGTTTAGGAGCACAGCAGCAACAGCAGCCTCCCATTTCAAGTTGATATATCTTTATTAACCTCCTAAGCTTCGGAGTGATTTTTTCATTCTTCCTTCTAAACATTGAAAAGATTAAATTGACTGATAAACAGCAAAAAGTTTCACAAAAATCACAAAGATGAACTTCAAACAACACTGGTTTTTTCAAAAGGAATTATGCTTGAGTTGTTGATGCTACACACAACTCAAGATAGAAGATATCTAAGCATATGAAAGACAACAGACAATCAGATTGGGTGGCAAAAGCAGGTGTTCAATTTGAAATTGAAGCGCTGGTTTCAAATTTTTATCAAATTGAAATCAAACTACATTAACGTTACAGCAAATTTTAATTTCTGCTTGTTGTGATTGAAAAGGGAAAGGACAAAAATCAGGATATCACTTCAGATAATCAACTGCAGGAATAGCAAACGCACATCACACCAATCGACAACTAATCATTAGACTCCGCCTTACTGCGCCCCACCCACCCATATGAGGAAGCTACACGCAGCACAAAACTCCAACAGATTCTCATCAACCACTAAAAACTAGCAAGGTGCAGGGCAGCAGCAATCAGCTCACATACTCAAGACCGCAGCTAAAAAATCGTCCAAACGAACTCTTAGCAGCTCCAAATTCGATTCACAAAATAAATCACGCTACAAATAAAGAAATTGATACACGCACAGTCTCCGCTCCTCATCGCGAACATTCAATGAAATCAAAGCTCAACAAGCAAACACATATGAAGGTAAATACGTACAAATATCCGCACAGAAGAACTGATGCATACGGCTACCTGCATCAACGGATGAGGTCAGAGGAGACGAATAGGAAAGGTTTTAGAGAGAGGGAGTAGTGTTACGTGTATGAACGACTAACTCCGTTTAGAGTGGAAAAAAAAGGAGGGCTTCTAATTTTCAGGATTAGGGAAGTTTATAAATAAAGGGGTTTTTGTGCACCCAATGGCTGTTTGGTAACAGCTACATTGGCCGGAATGGCCGAAAAACCTGAAAAGATCGAAGGGTGAAGTGAAAGTGTTTGGTAATATATTGACTGAAATCGCTGATTGAGTGAAAAATTACTATAAAAGGTATTAGCTAATTTGTGTTAAATATATGAGTATGAATTTTACTAATAAAATACTTTTGCTTAATTAGGTAATTATAAGACTACTTAAATAATTGATTACTTTGGAAATTTCATTCTTACTCTTACGTCGTTTATATTGTTTTGTACAACTACTTTCCAAAAATGCATATTTTCGAATGAGCGACATTAGTTTTATATTTTGTGACTAATATGAGTAAATGAATTTAATAAATATACTTATTGTAATGTATATTGGACTCGGGCCAGTCCGGGCCGGGCTCGATTGGGCTCTTTTTTGGAGAATTGAGGCCCAGAACTGGCCCAGGTAGCTACCGGGTTCGGTTCGGGCCGGGTAGCGGGACGGGTACAGCCCGGGCCGGGCCGGGCAGTGTACATGTATTTTTTGTTTACAAATTAATTCAAGAATTGTTGGATATAAAAAAATTAAAGTACATTTATTTGAAATTTGTAGTACTATTGAGAATTGAGAAAAAATTAAAACATGAAATACATTTTCTAATAAATAATATCAATCGGAATCTCCGCCATCTTCGGTAGTTTCCTCCTTAATGTGACGGGTGGGGGTGATGCACACTTCTTGAGTTCTACGTTGGGCGTTCAACCAATCGTGGGAGCAAACAAGCGTCTCAAGAGAGTTCGTGTTCAATCTCGTTCTATAATCCGTTAGCACGTTGTCGGTCGCACTAAATTATTGTTCCACGGCAACTGTTGATACCGACATTGCTAGCACTTGCTTAGCCATCTTTGATGATACTGGGAACGTCGATCTTTCTTTTTCCTTCCACCAATTTAGAACGTCAAAGTCATCCCCTTCTTCTTAATCAACGGGAAATTTTAGATACAAAGAAAGCTCGTTAATCGAGCTTTGTTCATTAAGGGGAGTTGATTTACTTTTTTCATAAATTGCCAAATGTAGATTTGAAAAATGATTTTCCTTTAGATGAAGATGTCCGTGTCGAGGGAGGGGGTGCGTTACCATATTGTGCATGAAACTCATTAAATAATTGATATAATAAATTACTAACCTCTTGGTATTCTTGTTTAGAGTCTATGGGCTTATCCTCGTACATAGAAAATGGACAAAAAAAGAAGCATAGTAGTAATCTAAACATCTTCCCAAAGCATCAAGTCTATAACGAGGATCAAGAATAAATGCAATACCATATATATGCGGAATATGTGAATAATATTTTAAAAACTTCTCTTTCATGAAAAAAAACAAAAATAACTAACGTAAGAGGCATCGGAAAAGTCACAAAAAGCGCCGGCGAGATTAACAGCTTCAACAAAAAATTGGTTTGCGGTAAGTGTATAAACATTACTAAAAGTTTGAGTTGCATTATTAAAAAATACCAAAACATTCACAATTTTTTCCATAGTGTCGATGTCGGTCGGGTTTATAATATAGTTAGCATATTCTTTTAAAAAAGCAGGAAAATGGTCTTTAAATCTAATCAGTACAACAATTAAGTTATAAGTACTATTCCAACAAATAGACAAATCTTTAGGAAAAACACAATATTTGACACGTCTTTCCCTCAAATATTTACGCCATTGCTCCTTAAGTTGACCACTAGCCCAAATAAGTTTAATCCCCTCTTCACTACCTCCATAGCCTCTCCAAACGCGGTTAGCCCGTCTTTTACACATAAATTTAAAATATGACATGCACAATGTTGATGAAAAAATCTACCCATCAAAGTAGAAGAACCACACACAATTCACACAATCTAGGTACCAGTCAAATGTTTTCTATACCAGTCAAATCTAGGTACCTTGAGCATATTCTTTTAAAGCAAGACTTTCAGAAAAAATAAAAAGACAAATTTTCTTCAACAATTAAGTGAGACATATATACCAGTCAAATGTTTTTATCATCATACGAGAAATTACCAAAGGGTTGGGCAGTTGCAAACCTGGATATTTGAGTTTGCTTCCCCTTGCCTTTGTCTATTTTCGCATACTCCGCGGGGTGAGCGGACTGAAGATGCCTTTTGCAAGTGCCGTATCCTCCAAAAATTCCCAAGCTATACACATTAGGGCAATGCTTGCAACTTGTGTACCATTTATCGGTTTTCTTGTCTTTCGTCTTTGTAAAATTATTTTCCATAATTGGTGATTTACCTTTCTTACCGGGTTGGGATGAACCAGCCTCGTCCTCGTCCTCGGCCTCGACCTCTTCCTCATCGTCCGGGTTGCCGTGACCCTCGCCCTCGGCCGTCGCCGGATCCTCCTCCACATCATCATCCTCGAGTTCATCTTCAACCTCGGGGATGTCATGTTGTTGGTAAAAGCGTGCACGTTGTTGGTTCAATAGTTAGGCTACTTGCTCATCGGTCATATAATCTGTATCTATGCGTTGGTAATCCGTTTCAAAATCATCTCGGGTTTGAGAAGAATACCCGGTCCGTTCTTTACCTTAACGTGAACTAGGATGATTCCTCGCAATCTTCTTCTTTCGGTTGCGGTTGAGGTTACCCATATCTATAAAAGGCCTACCACGTTCCATCTTAAAAATGTAACAAATATTAAATTCTAACAAATATGTTAATATTAGTACAATAGCAATGCAACCAATAAGAAATGTTATAAATTTTATTTTTTATTTAAACCTATTTTATTAAATACTATTTTTTAAATCTAACTAGTTTTTTTAATGAAAAAAACTAACTATTTTTTTTAATTCGAACTAGTTTTTCAATAAGTAGTTTTTTTTAATGAAATGTTAATGAAAAAATCTAACTATTTCTAGGGAACTTTTCTTTCCGTTGATTTAAGTAGTTTCTTGAGTAGGAGGAGGACCTGAAACAAAGAAATAACGTTAGTACCGGGCGGTGCGAGTCACAAAGGCACTCACCTCAGGGAATGGACTGCCCGGACCCACAAGATGAACACGAGAGAATGTCAGTCCAGGGATCACGGGTGGTACCTATCCCTGCATCAGAGAGTGCCTCGATGGTCAGAAGGTCCTTCAGCTTTCTAACGCCGCCCAGCATTAGCTTATCCACGGCATCTTGCAACCCCTGGGTTAGCTCTGGTGCCTTAACCTTCGGAGGATATCCGTTCCATCTCACAGGAAGTCGCTCGTCCGCATAGCGGAGGAAGAAAAAACGATTTTTCCAATCGTGGATGGAAGTGAGAGCCCCCTCGAACAGCTTTCTTTTGGGATGAGCGGCCACGCTCAGGAACCCATCGGCATTTTTGGGAGTGACTTGGAAGAAGTAATGAAAAAACTCCAGATTAGAGGTGAGCCCTAGCGATTTGCAACGAACGAGAAAGGCGGAGATCAGGCGGTAGGAGTTTGGCATGAATTGGGCCGGAACACCACTATAAAATTCGAAGAAATCAAGATAAAACGGGTGGAGCGGGAAGCGCAGTCCGGCCTTTATAGAATCCATGTGCACCATCACCATGCCCGGACGTCTCATGAGGAGGTTATCCGCACCCCGGAGGCTGTAGTAAGCGGGCGGAGGGAGAATAATTTGTAGTTCCCTCAGAGCCCTCCTGGAGAAGACCTGTTCAATCACGGCGACATTGGGGATGAGCACTATGTGCCGGTGCTGATCCATGGGGACGCCGTGCTTGTATATCTGGAGATCGTCCCCTTCCTCGACCTCGTCACCCGAATCGTGATCTGTTGAATGCCCCACCCCCACGGCAGGTTGTGCCACCGTCGCAACGGCATTCTCGGGAATGACGTCCATATCAACATGTTCCCCTGCATCTGGGATCGCGATATCAACTGTTGCATCAGGGACCGCCATTGAAGAAGAGCTGGGACGGCCAGAATCGCTCGCTTTCGCCGAGGAACGGGATCTGAGTTCTGTTGCGGAAGAGGAACCGGCTGAAGAGCCGGTAGAGGAGCTAGAACCAGTCTCCGAATCGGAAGAAATCTCCATGGAGCAGGCCATGGGGAGGCTTACGAAAAGAAAGGAAGAGGGTTGGGATTGAAGAATTACCTTGCGAAACCTTGGGAGAGGGATGAACGCGGAAACTCGAAACACTCGCTGGACGGCACTGGGAAGGTAAGAGGAAGCAAAGGATGAAAAGCCCTAACCATTCCCGTAATCCCAGTATTTATAAGGGGAGGCATCGGATCAGTGGCCAACCCACAGGCGACACGTGGCAGGTTCTCTCCAGTGTAGTGCTTTTAGATATATGATGAAATTAAATTTTAGGATTTTAGGATTATATGATGATGATTTTTTTTGTGGAAAGTGTAATTACATTTTAGGAATTTAGGCGGAGAATGCTTAGGCGAGAGAGTTTCTCTCTCTAGTGTAGTGCTTTTAGGTATATGATGATGATTCTTTTGGCGGAAAGTGACATTACATTTTAGGATTTTAGGCGGAGTATGCTTAGGCGGGAGAATTTTCTCTCTCCAGTGTAGTGCTTTTAGGTATTCTTTGCACGGGACAAGAAACCCGATAAATGGTACACATGTTGCAAGCATTGCCCTAGTTACTCCACCCGTGCGCTGCACGGGAGTGAGACACCCACATCCTATACCTAAAAGCACTACACTAGAGAGAGAAAATTATCCCGCTTAAGCATTCTCCATCTAAAATCCCGCTTAAGCACTACACTGCCACGTACAAATGTTTGTGAGTAATAATGGGGCTTCAGAGTAAGATAACAACTTTTTTCAACGATTGTCCATGACTCTTATTAATGGTCATTGCAAACCTAACAATTTTAGACGGAGAATGCTTAGGCGGAAAATTTTTCTCTCTCCAATATAGTGCTTTTAGGTATATGATGAAATTAAATTTTAGGATTTTAGGATTATAGGATGATGATTTTTTTTT